CATCATCGCTGCTTCTTTGTGTAACCCATTCAGCCTGCATTTCAATATTGATAGAAAGCTACCTTTCATGTCGCCCTTTTTCATCTCTTATTCTAACGCGACTTTACAAAATAAGATTTTTCTTTCTTTCGGTCAATATTCTTTTGAGTCTAAATAGGAGTATTCACATAACCTAACTACTACAGCCCCAAGTGGTGAAGAGCCGACATCGTGTCGATCCTTCGTGTTGAATATGAATCTATTATCCCTAGAATAATTTTTATCTATTGAGCAACGACTCTTCCACTCAGTACCGTTGGATCACTAAGACTAACTTTCATTCCTGCTCGATGGATGGGTCTTGCAGTCGAAAAAATGATTACATGCAGGTGGAATGTTGGGCTAAACTATAACACAATAATCTACCAAAGATTACCCTTTTCTTTATAATTCTGCCACTCTAATCCATGTGTACTTGAATTGACTAAAAATAATTTGGTGTATATCCATCTAAAAATAATTTGGTATATATCCATCTATGTATTATTTTTCCACATTATTCTATAGTCTTAATATTTTTGGGGACAAAATTAAAACTATAGTGTATATAATTATTTCTCTTTTGGAAGTCTCTTTCCGAATCGACTTATAGGGCACATCATTAAAGCAATGGAGAAAAGAGAACGTCTAATTAAATGAATTATATATATATCAATAAAGTAAATATATGTGATTATAAAGACATTATCAACATGTTTCTTAATGGACCTAACTGTACAATTATGTAAGAAGGTTCTAATCCCTCTTACTTTCTTAAATATGCCCTAATTTTTGAGACTTTGAAACGTGAATCGTGACTAAAAAGACGAAAGCGAAAAATGAAATAAAAGATAAAAGCTTTGAAGTTTGTCAAACCACTTTATAGCCATCCCAACAGGACAAACCTGCCGAGACAATCCAACTTGAGTTGAGGGACCATAGTCCATAGCCGCTAATCACGCTCGAGTCACAAGGCAGCAATTTCTAAACCAGACTTTGGTTGTTACCTATCTTCATCCCCGCGCTCGTATTTCAATTTCCATTATCTTAAGCCCTGTCCAGCTAACAGGAAACAAAATCTCTCCCTAATCTCTTCATTTCTCATTTGAATGGGAATTTTTCCACTCTAGTTAGGGTAGGTCTTCGTGAATGACCAACTTTATAATTTAAATGAAAATCTCTAATAATTTAAGACACGAGTATTGAATCAAAACGTCTTTTATCATCATTTTCGTGGAGCTTGAATGACTAGTAATAATTTACCATCCAATTATTTCCTATAAATTATGAGTTGAAGTGATTATGTATTACTCTTTCAACTTACAAAACTACCTAGTTTTCAATATATATATATATAAATGCATATAGAGAGAGAGAGATGATAAAGAATTGCACCACCAAAGAGAGAGAAAGAGATAATATAAACAAATCAAAGGAGTTGACCTTAGAAGTCCCATCCCGACTTTGCCTCCGCTTGTCTCCTAAACCACACCCAACACTCACATCTTCACACGCCTCCCAAACCCTTTGGGTATAGTCCTTCAGAAAAAAAACCAAGTCAACCTTCAAATTCTCCTCTCTCTAATCCATAATTTAACTTGTTTACACATATACGCTCAACCAAGAATCAAATCGTTCATCTCAAACGTTATCGAATTAAAATACAATGAAGACTTAGATAGCTTCGACGCTCAATCAAACTTGAATTAGTGTGTTTATAGAATGGCTAATTAGATTATTGATGATTGAGAAGATGTTAAGGAATTCATTGGTTAAAGAGCTACCACCTTGATTTTTGGAGCAACAAAAGCATAAAATTCCACATATTGAGTGAATTTCAAGTGCCTGCAAGGTGACGAAAGCTTTATATGTATAGTTCAATAATACCATTGGCTCCAAATTTCAGCAGCATTATATTAAATTGAGTATTCTTAGACGGCACCCTAAACCCTATATAAATAGCAAAGGCCTAAATACAGCTTCATCAATTTGGGTTGGCTTGAGTTGTTAGCTAGAGCTCATATAGAGATGCCGGGGAAAGATGAAGGTGCACTATTGCAGCATATTGAAGAGATTACAACTCATGCTGATCAAGTTCAACGAAGGGTTCTTACTGAAATTCTCTCCCGCAACGCCCATGTTGAGTACCTACAACAACAAGGGCTTGATGGGTGTATGGATAGGATGGCATTCAAGAACATAGTTCCCGTTGTTTCCTATGAGAATTTAAAGCCATATATCGATCGAATTGCTAACGGCGATGCTTCTCCAATTCTATGTTCCGAACCCGTATCGGAATTCTTAACCAGGTGAGTGTAAACAAATCTATTGTAGTTATTCTTGTTAGAGACTACGACTCTTCACAATCGTTTGATATTGTCTACTTTCAGTATAAGCTCTCATAATTTTGAATAAAGTATACCATAGAGCCTCCCCTAAGGCTTACGGAGCCCTCGAACAACCTCCCCTTAATCGAGGCTCAACTCCTTGTCTGGAGCTTTTGAACAAAGTAAACCCTTCGTTCAATACTTTAGTCACTTTTGACTACACTTTCGAGGCTCACAATTTCTTTGTTCGACATTTGAGAATTCTATTGATATGGCTAAGTTAAGGGCATGGCTCTAATACCATGATAGGAACCATGACTCTCCACAATGGTATGATATTGTCCATTTTGAGCATAAGCTCTCGTGGCTTTGCTTTTGGTTTCTCCAAAAGACATCATACTTAGCCGATGATCAACCCCTCAATTAGCCGTTGTGGTACTCCTCTCCCAATTGTGTTTGAACTCAATTGTTGTTTGTGTTTTTCTATTCTAGTTCCGGAACATCGGGAGGGGAGAGGAAATTAATGCCGACAACCGAAGAAGAGCTGAAGAGAAGATCATTTCTTTACTCCCTTTTGATGCCTGTGATGAACCAATTCATTCCAGGCTTAAACAAGGGGAAAGGAATGTACTTTTTGTTCGTAAAATCCGAATCCACAACTCCTGGAGGATTACCAGCTCGTCCAGTTCTCACTAGCTACTACAAAAGCTCACACTTTAAGGACCGCCCATATGATCTCTACACTGATTACACCAGCCCTAACCAAACAATTCTTTGCACAGACTCATATCAAAGCATGTACTGTCAGTTCCTTTGTGGGTTATGTCTGAGCCAGCAAGTCCTTAGAGTTGGCTCAGTTTTCGCATCTGGGTTCATTCGAGCCATCAAATTCCTTGAAACCCATTGGGTCCTTTTGGCTAATGATATCAGAACAGGAACCATAAACCCTAGAATCAGGGACCCATTAGTGAGACAATCAGTCATGAACATTCTGAAACCTGACCCTGTGCTGGCTGATTTGATTGAATTTGAGTGCAGCAAAGGGACGTGGGCAGGTATCATACCTAGGCTGTGGCCAAATACAAAGTATATTGATGTTATTGTGACAGGTACTATGTCACAGTATATCCCAACTTTGGATTACTATAGCAATGGCCTCCCTCTTGTTTGCACCATGTATGCTTCTTCTGAGTGCTACTTTGGGGTTAATCTAAACCCTTTGTGTAACCCAAATGAGGTCTCTTACACGCTTATTCCCACCATGGCATATTTTGAATTCTTACCTCTTGATAGGAAGATGAGTGAAGAATTGGTTGATCTTGTGGACGTTGAACTGGGAAAAGAATATGAGCTCGTTATCACTACTTATTCAGGTATGTTTTTGTTGAGACATAGAGAATCCATGGGTCTGCCGCCTATTTATAGCTTATTCAATTGTTATAACTGTTAGACACAATTGTTTAGACTCTATGGGGAGCCTGTAGACACAATTGTTTAGACCCTATGGGGAGCCTGTAGACACAATTGTTTAGACCCTATGGGGAGCATGTAGACACAATTGTTTAGACTCTACAGAGCCCTGTAGACTCAATTGTTTCCTGTCTATGACAGTGTGTATAGTTTCCTGTCTATGACAGTGTGTATAGTTTCCTGTCTATGACAGTGTGTATAGTTTTCCTGTCTATGACAGTGTGTATAGTTTTCCTGTCTATGACAGTGTGTATAGTTTTCCTGTCTATGACAGTGTGTATAGTTTTCCTGTCTATGAGTGTATTGATTAAGCTATAAATAGACAGCTGTCTATGAGTGTATAGTTTTCCTGTCTGGTTGATTAAGCTATAAATAGACAGCAGACTCCTACATGAATGAATAATATTTGGTTCAGGTATCTAAGATAACCTATCTTATTTGATATTGCAGGGCTATATCGATATCGAGTTGGTGACATTCTTCGAGTATCAGGATTCAAGAACAAGGCTCCTCAATTCAACTTCGTATGTCGGAAAAATGTGATTCTCAGCATCGACTCCGACAAAGTAGACGAAGTTGAGCTTCAAAACGCAGTCATGGAAGCTTCTAAGAACTTAATCCCATATGAAACTAGCCTCCTTGAGTACACGAGCTACGCCGATACTCATACAGTTCCAGGGCATTATGTCATATATTGGGAAATTAGCCAAAAGGAAACCAACGCCATTCCCGATTTGGTATTTGAAAATTGTTGCCTAACCATCGAGGAATCACTCAACAGCGTGTATCGTCAAGGACGAGTCTCGGATAAATCAATTGGTCCTTTGGAGATAAAGATTATCGAGAATGGGACGTTTGACAAACTCATGGATTATGCCATCAATCATGGATCTTCCATAAACCAATACAAAACCCCTCGTTGCGTGAAACACGAACCAATTCTCGAGCTTTTGAACTCGTACGTTGTGTCCAATTATTTCAGCCCGAGATGTCCCAAATGGGTCCCTGGTCAAAAAGAATGGTCCACGAAGAAGCGTAGTTAAGACACAACTAGTTTGGAATGACTTTATAAGTATTTATGTTTATACCTTACCTCGTGTTTAGTGTATAATTGAAATGTAAGTAATATGTGAGTGTGAAAGGAAAAAGGAATAAAATTGTGAGCGTTTTTAGAAGACGACGACGAAAACGTTAAAAGGGTTGTTGTTGTTGTCAACAATAACGAAGTTTAACATGAGGAGAAGCTCGAGAGAATCCCATGATAAGAGACTTAATGGCTCGACGTTTAAGGGAATCTCTATGGTTGGTTTTGTTAGTGAAAATGGAGAGTTCTTGCAATGAAGTCCCATACTTGAGCAAGAAGTGAGTGAGGCTAACTTCATTGAAGCACTCCATGAACCCTTCCATTCTTACAATCTTAAGATGAAGACGAAAGGATTCGAGTGGCTCGATTTGGGTTTCCCAGAAATGTTCTTCCTCCGAAACAATCCTTTCCCACTTTTCCTTACGCCAATCCTAAACAAAACAAAAAATCAAAACGAACCAGAATGTTACTTATGTTAGAAATCATAGCTCTCGTAGCTTTGCAACTCATGATCATTCCCTAAATTAATCGATGTAATTACCTTCCTTCCATTGCTACTAGCATCAACGATCTTGATCGTGAGCATATGAAGAATGGGACAACTTCTGAATATATTCGCTACCACCGAACAATTGTGCTTTCTAGATACTGTTTTCAGCTCCAAACATCTTACGTTGTTGAATGTCGGCAAATAACATGCAAAGTAAGTATTGCTGGATAGAATCTGCCTTATAATATTTATTTTTTCAAAAAATAAGAAACAATAAAATTAGTTCAATTATCTCATTTAAATCTCTAAGGATTTACAACAAAATATATAATATATATTTTAACATATTACTATTAATTTACTTTTTACCAACATTGAAAAGTTAAAAAAGTTAAAAAAAAGTTTAAAAAAAAAGTTAAAAAGGTGTTCCTGACAAAAATATTGTTTTTTATCTTATAATTTTATTTTTGAAAATAGACAAGCTATAAATATGTTATTATTATTTAAATTAAAATTTTAATATAACTGAGAATACTCAGTAACAAAATTTAAAATTCATTAAAAAAAAAAAAAAAAAAAAAAAAAAAAAAAAAAAAAAAAAAAAAAAAAA